TGATGTATTATTACTAGCATTTACATGATCAGGTAACTTACTTTTTCAGTACAGTATAAAAGACGGTTGATGCCTGGCCACCTGCAGCAGGTACCAAAAAATTATCTTACCTTTCCATAGAACAGTGCTTCAATTCCTAAGTTTTAAACAATTTGAGGCAAGGTAGTCTGGACACTGTTAGAAATTGTGAAGACATATGTAGCTTAGTTTCAGCTGTACCATACCATTATCTGCCCATCTTTAGCATTTCTAATTTTGTAGTGTGTTTCTTAAACTCGATGAGCAGGAATAATCTACATGATACTGTATAACAGCCAGACATAGGGATCTTGCATACATGGGCTACAAAGCACTGAGAAACTAGCCTCGTATTCACTTTTTTATATTAACTATTAATTCATCTGTAATAGCTTATTAAAGAAGCAAGTTGGTGGACAGTAACCATCCAAGAAGATACTACTCACCTGTCAAATGGCTGTGATATGGAGGTTTATTATTAATATTTTGCACTCTAGCAAGTTTGCTATCCTTTTTTTTGCGGTGACAAAAATTTTATTCGGATTATTAGCCCAGAGGGTTAGTAACCCGAGATAACCTAGGAACATAATCTTGTGGCCTATTTAAGAAATTGGGAAGGCTGACAGGTGAAGTAGAAAAGTGGAGACAGAGCCTACATAATAACTGTGATTTTAAGTGCAGCAGCAACAGTGGCAGTGCCATTAACAACAGCAACATAAGTGACTGGAATGAGTAGTAGTGCCATACAGCAGCTGCACCATCAGCAGTCAATAGCTGATGGGAATTATTATAATTTGTTATTATATTCAAACACATTTGCTTAAAATTTATGAATGACATAGCAGTGGCTGTGAGAAAGTGTGCAAGGTTAGGGGGTTTGTTGAGGTAAAAGTTTAGCAAAAAACTGAAGTCAAAATTAGTGCAACTGGTTAGTTTTAATAAAAAAAAAAATCAAAGAGAGCATCAACATTAAAGGTGGGATTTTTGGCAAGGTTATTTAAGAGTAGATAAACAGACACAGATGCAACTAATGTGACATTTTATTGTTTTGCTCTCCAAGAGTTCCTGGAAAGCAAAACGTTGCCACAAAATGTTACTTTAGTTGCTTCTGTGTCCATTACCTAACATTTTGTCAATAATTCTACCATTATTACCAGTTAAGAGTACATAAGCAGTGAATCCTGCATGTTCTCTAACAGAGAGAAGAGTTCAGTGTAATATAGTGAACTCATATTAACCTGGTAGTCCTTTCAGAAAGATGCCAGATATATCTAAATGTGATATCCATGCACGAGGCATCTGTGTCTGACTCGAAATGGGGAACATAGTTTTCCAAACCTGATAGTGGAAAAAAGATTGTGACCCCCAGGTAATTAATCAACTCAAGGTAATAATCTGAAGATTATCATCACATTCATGGGGTAGCAATAAAACCACAGGGGTCACACAACCCTGTGGAATGGGAGGAAATCAGTTTTGATCCAAGGAAGGGAATTGAAGAGCCCCTCACCATCATCAAGGAGTCTCCCTTGAAGGCGGTAGTAGTAACAGTACAGGTACTGCTCACTTAACAACTGAGTTCCGTTCCTGAGAGAAGGTCGGTAAGCAAATTGGTAGTTAAGCGAGAAGCCGTCCCTTACTGATATTTCTGGCATGCTGTACTGGTAGTGGGTTTGTGTCAACCATCTTTAGATATTATTTTAATGTCACATTTGCACCATTTATAACATTTTTAGTATATTAAAAACAAAACTAGATATTAAAAAAATAATAAAAAAGTAAAATACACACATTACACTTGTTGGAGAGCTTGTCCTAGTCCAAGTGGTCATTAAACAGGTGGATTGTAAAGTGAGGAGTACCTGTAGTAAGTTTTTTTAGGTACAGGTACATTTAAGTACAACTGTATATGAATGGTATACAATACCAATAAGACAAAGAATCAGATACATGTGAAACATCTGGGTAACTTTATCTGTAGACATTTCACCATCCAGTGGTTTTATTGGTACAAATTCAAGGACATAATGGGAAGATCTTCACGACTACAGTGCTCTTCACCAACACCAAGGATAAGGGAGTGATTCCCTCATCTTTTGTATATAGTTCTACTACAGTCTTCCCATTATGTCCTTGAATTTGTATTGATAAGATTTTGTTGGGATTTTTAAACCTGGAGGGTTAGCCACCCAGGATAACCCAAGAAAGTCAGTGCATCATCAAGGGACTGTCTTATTTCCATTGGGATCCTTAAATCTAAGTCCCCAAGGATGCGACCAACACCAGTTGACTAACACCCAGGTACCTACTTGCTTGCTAGGTGACCAGGACAATAGGTGTAAGAAAACACACCCAAAGTTTCCACAAGGCCAGGGATCAAACGATAGACACTGTGTGTGAAGCGAGAACACTGCCTACCAGGCCATGGGACACCTGGATGGTGGAATGTCTACAACAGAGATAGCTCAAATGCTAGCCTACTTAGCTCACACACTGAAGTCCAGAGGTCGATCCCAGGTATGGCTGGAAAACATTAGCCGTGTTTCCATAAGACACCTACTGTCTCCGTTCACCCATCGGTAAAATGGGACCTGGGTGTTAAACGAGTGGTGTGGGTCACATCCTGGGACAAAATTGACCTAATCTGCCCGAAATGCTCTGCACTGTATGCCATTGATGTCACAGTATATCAGCTAGGCCTGTATACACTGTATATGTACTTGCAGAAATAAAGATATTATTATCATTATTATTATTATTATTATTATTATTATATATCCAGACGCTGCACACGTGTCTAATACCTCATAAGTACAATTATCATACACAGGTGACTCAACACTCATACATACACACACAATAAAGGGGAAAGATAAAATTAACACACACTATAAGACACAAACGTAAAAGTTGAACAAAAACGTAAATACCATAGTATCGTAAGTTAGAATAAGCAGCGTGAATTAAAAACACAATGATTAATCCCCTTTGAAAAAGATTAAATAAAATTTATTCCTTGATAACTTAAAAGAGGCCTGGAATAATAATATAATTATGTACTGGTATACTGAAAAACGAGCATTAAACCCATATGTATCATGCAACACAAGGGTCTGGGACCTCACCTTAAGGTTTATTTAGGTACAAGTACACATAAATGCACACTTATAATACATAGTATGCAAAGGCATGGAGAAGATTATCAGGAGAAGAGTGGTGGAACTAGAAAGGAATGAGCTTATCAACGACAACCAGCACGGTTTCAGGGACGGGAAATCCTGTGTCACAAACCTACTGGAGTTCTATGACAGGGTGACAGCAGTAAGACAAGAGAGAGAGGAGTGGATAGATTGCATTTTCTTGGACTGTAAGAGGGCATTTGACACAGTTCCACACAAGAGATTAGTGCAAAAACTGGAGGACCAAGCAGGGATAACAGGGAAGGCACTACAATGGATCAGGGAATACCTGTCAAGAAGACAACAGTGAGTCATGGTATGTGATGGGGTATCAGAGTGGGCACCTGTAACAGGCAGGGTGCCACAGGGGTCATTCCTAGGCCCAGTGCTGTTTCTGGTATTTGTGAACGATATGACAGAAGGAATAGACTCCGAACTGTCCTTCTTTGCAGATAATGTCAAGTTGACGAGAAAAATTCATTTGATCGAAGACCAGGCAGAACTACAAAGGGATCTGGACAGGCTGCAGACCTGGTCCAGCAATTGGCTCCTGGAGTTCAATCCCACCAAGTGCAAAGTCATGAAGATTGGGGAAGGGCAAAGAAGACCGCAGACGGAGTACAGTCTAGGGGGCAGAGACTACAAACCTCACTCAAGGAAAAAGATCTTGGGGTGAGTATAACACCAGGCACATCTCCTGAAGCGCACATCAACCAAATAACTGCTGCAGCATATGGGCGCCTAGCACACCTCAGAACAGCATTCCGACATCTTAATAAGGAATCGTTCAGGACCCTGTACACCGTGTACGTTAGGCCCATATTGGAGTATGCGGCACAAGTTTGGAACCCACACCTAGCCAAGCACGTAAAGAAACTAGAGAAAGTGCAAAGGTTTGCAACAAGACTAGTCCCAGAGCTAAGAGGTATGTCCTACGAGGAGAGGTTAAGGGAAATCAACGTGACGACACTGGAGGACAGGAGAGAAGGGGGGACATGATAACGACATACAAAATACTGAGAGGAATTGACAAGGTGGACAAAGACAGGATGTTCCAGAGATTGGACACAGTAACAAGGGGACACAGTTGGAAGCTGAAGACACAGATGAATCACAGGGATGTTAGGAAGTATTTCTTCAGCCACAGAGTAGTCAGTAAGTGGAATAGTTTGGGAAGCGATGTAGTGGAGGCAGGATCCATACATAGCTTTAAGCAGAGGTATGATAAAGCTCATGGAACAGGACGAGTGACCCAGTACCAGCCAGTGAAGAGGCGGGGCCAGGAGCTGTGAATCGACCCAGGTGAGTCAAGTAGGTGAGGACGTGTAAATTACCCAGGATAACCCAAAAAGGTCAGACAAAAGTAACTTATTTCTATTGTCGACCTTACTTAAGGACCACAATGTGAATAAGTTAGTTTGTCTGACTTTTGTATTATTGTTGGTATTTATTGTATAATAATTTATTATAATTGTTTACCTGTGACTAAATAAACACGACTATATTAAACAAAGGCAATTATATAATTCAGGGAGTAAGCGCTAAACCCAGACGAGTCAGAGAGCATTTATTGAATGGAAGTCAATTAATAGTCAGTGTAAAGGCAGGTAAGAGCAGATCCAACACCTGGGATCAAGATCCCCCCCAGAGCATCACCCAACATGGCGAGTGTTAAACACATAATTCACCACCTCACACACACTACTGACTCACTACACATACACCATCATCACCACACACACACTACTAACTCTACCACACCTTAAATTAACTTGAAAAGTAAAAAATAACCCCAGAAAATACCTAAAATAACAAGTCAAGTCTCGGTGTTGTGAGGAAGTGGTAGTCTGTGCTCTACAGTGTTGCCACACTTCTCTTACCTCCACTATATACATTGTTTATATTACTTCATATATCTACAATGTTAACTCAGTGTTAACTAAATTATGGTTAATTTATCAGTGTATGTGTGTGTTAGTGTTTGTGGTGGTGTTTGTATATGTGTGTGTTTGTATTGTTTGTCTATGTGTGTTTGTATTGTGTGTTTGTATTGTTTGTATTGTGTTTGTATTGTGTTTGTATTGTGTTTTTATTGTTTGTATTGTGTTTGTATTGTGTTTGTATTTGTTTGTATTTGGGGTTTGTATTGTGTTTGTATTGGTTTGTATTTGTTTGTATTGGGTTTTTTTGTTTTTTGTATTTGTGTTTGTATTGGGGTTTGTATTGTGTGTTTGTATTGTTTGTATTTGTGTTTGTATTGTTTGTATTGTGTTTGTATTGTTTTTTATTGTGTTTTTTGTTTTGTTTGTATTGTGTTTGTATTGTTTTTGTTTGTATTGTGTGTTTGTATTGTGTGTTTGTATTGGTTTGTATTGTTTGTATTGTGTTTGTATTGTGTTTGTATTGTGTTTTGTATTGTGTGTTTATTGTGTTTGTATTGTGTGTTTGTATTGTTTTTTGTTTTTGTTTGTATTGTGTTGTATTGTTTGTTTTTTGTATTGTGTGTTTGTATTGTGTTTGTATTTGTTTGTATTGTGTGGTTTGTTTGTGTGTTTGTATTTGTGTTTGTATTGTGTTTGTATTGTGTTTTTTATTGTGTTTGTATTGTGTGTTGTATTGTGTTTGTATTGTGTTTGTATTGTTTGTATTTTGTGTTTGTATTGTGTGTTTGTATTGTTTGTTTTTGTGTTTGTATTGTGTTGATGTGTTTGTATTGTGTGTTTGTATTTGTTTGTATTGTGTTTGTATTGTTTTGTATTGTTTTGTATTGTGTTTGTATTGTGTTTGTATTTTTGTTTTTGTGTTTGTATTGGGTGTTTGGTATTGTTTGTATTGTGTGTTGTATTGTGTTTTGTATTGTTTGTATTTTGTTTTTGGGTATTGTGGTTTGTATTGTGTGTTTGGTATTGTGTGGTTTGTATTTGTGTTTGTATTGTGTTTGTATTGTGTGTTGTATTGTGTTTTGTATTGTGTTTGTATTGTGTGTTTGTATTGTGTTTGTATTGTGTTTGTATTGTGTGTTTGTATTGTGTTTGTATTGTGTGTTTTGTATTGTGTTTGTATTGGTTTGTATTGTGTGTTGTATTGTGTTTTTGTATTTGTGTGTTTGTATTGTGTTTGTATTGTGTTTGTATTGTGTGTTTGTATTTGGGTGTGTTTGTTTTGTGTGTTTTATTTGTGGGGTTTTTGGTTATTTGTGTGTTTGTATGTGTTTGTATTGTTTTTGTATTGTGTTGTATTGTGTTTGTTTTTGTGTTTGTATTGTGTTTGTATTGTGTTTGTATTGTTGTGTTGTATTGTGTGTGTATTGTGGTTTGTATTGGGGTTTTTTGTGTTTGTATTGTGTGTTTTTTTAAAATTTGGGTGTGTTGTATGGGTTTATATTAAATGTGTGTGTTTGTATTGTGGTTTGTATTGGTTTGCATTGCGTGTTTGTATTGTATTTGTATTAAAGGGTGTTTGTATTGTGTTTATATTAAATGTGTGTGTTTGTACTGTGTGTTTGTGTAATGAATGTGTGTTTGTAATGAGTGTGTTAGCTGTAGTTTGTGGGTGTTCGTATTGTAGTCACCTATTATTGATTGCAGGGGTCAAGACATAGCTCCTGGTCCCGCCTCTTCACTGGTCGCTACTAGGTCCACTCTCTCTCCCTGCTCATGAGCTTTATCATACCTCATCTTAAAACTACGTATGGTTCCTGCCTCCACTACGTCACATGCCAGACTATCCTACTTCCAGTGTGTGTTTGTACTGAACGTTTGTTTGTGTCTGGAACAATGTTCCAAACTATGGAACAAAACTTCAGAATGAGAGACTGATCACCTCAAAACTACGTCTTGAAGGGTGAAGGACTGATGACATCGTCTTCACATCTCTACTGTTTCTGCTAATTCTGTACTCGACAGAAGCCTGCTGTGTGGGCGAAACGTTTCGAAATAAAGATACCTAAGTGTAGGAATGTGTCTTACTTATCCTAGTGTAAATTACCTAGAATAAACCCCAAAAATGAATTAATTTGGGTCTTGCATCCTGTGCCAAAATTTAGAGAAAATTTGTCTACTTTTCTCATAATTTAGTCTGTATTATTATCTACCCATAAATGCCCTTTTTCTGTCTCATAAACACGCTAGATAACAGGGATATCTTGCTACTCCTACTTACACTTTGGTCACACTTCACAGACACGCACATGCATATATATATACATACATCTAGGTTTTTCTCCTTTTTCTAAATAGCTCTTGTTCTTCTTTATTTCTTCTATTGTCCATGGGGAAGTGGAAAAGAATCTTTCCTCCGTAAGCCATGCGTGTCGTATGAGGCGACTAAAATGCCGGGAGCAATGGGCTAGTAACCCCTTCTCCTGTAGACATTTACTAAAAAAGAGAAGAAGAAAAACTTTATAAAACTGGGATGCTTAAATGTGCGTGGATGTTTGTGCGGATGACAAAAACAGATGATTGCTGATGTTGAAAGAAAGAAGTTGGTTTTCCCGGCCAAGCAAAAAAAGCGAAGGGGGAAAGGAGAGTTTCAGGGGGGGGGAAATAAAGGGGATAAATCTGGATTTCTGAGAGAGTTAGAGCAAAGGAAGGGGTTTGCAGAATGTTTAATGATCAGTTTGGAAGAGAAAAGAAAATATGAATAGTAAATTCAAAAATTTGTGATTAAAGTAAAGGGTTGGTGGAGAAATGGGTCTAATAAGGTGTATGCACCTGGAGAAGAAGGAAGGGAGAGGAAGAGAGAGATTTTGGGAGATGAATGAATGTATAGGAGCCTTTGAACCAAGTGAAAGAGTAAAAATTTTGGTAGGGGATTAATGCAAAAATAGGAGAAATTTTGAGAGGGTGTGGTAGGGAAGTTTGGGGGGGCCCGGTAAATGATAATGGGAGCCCTTTTATTTTAAATTTGTATAGAAAGGGGGGTTTGTTTAGGGAATACATATTTTAAGAAAAAGAGGATAAAAAAGTATACAAATAAATTTTTAGGCGAAATGAAGTAGTTTTTGGTTATGTTTTGGTAGATAAAAAAATGTTGAGTAGACTTAGGATGCATGTTTATAGAGGGGGCCACAGATATATCAGATCACTTTTAGTTGTAGCTACACTGAGGTAAAAAGGGAATGGGGTACAAGGAGAAAGAAATATCAGGGAAAAAGGAGAGGTGAAGGTTTAAAAAAAGAGGAGGGAGTTAGGGTAGAATAAACAGTATTGGAGGATAGATGGGGGTAATGAGGCATGGGGAATGGGGGCGAAGAGGTATGGGGTAGGTTTTTAAAATGTAGTGTTAGGTTTCAGCAGAAGTTTGGGTTACAGGAAAGTTGGGTGCGGGGGGGGAAGAGGAGCGATTGGTGGATGATGAGTAAAGAGAGTAGTAAGGGGAAAAAAAAATTAGCATTGAGAATTTTTTACAAAGTAGAAGTTTTGGAGTGAGTTAAAAAGTAAGAAAGCCTAAAAACAAATGGATTTGTCAGTTAAAATGGGGGAGAGGAGATTATTAAATGGAGGTTGAGGTTTTGGGGAAGATGGGGGGAATTTTTTGAAAATTTTTAAATGTTGATGAAGATGGAAGCTGTGATTTCGTGTATAGGACAAGGAGGAAAAACATCTTTAGGAGGAGGGGGAGCCCGATGTGAGTGTGGGGGAAGTTTGTGAGGCAGTAGGGAAAAAGAAAGGGGGGTAAGCAGCCGGATTGATGGGATAAAAATAAAATGTTAAAAGCAGGTGGGGATTGTTTTGGAGTGGTTGGTGCATTATTTAATAAAAGTATGGAAAAAGGTAAGGTACCTAGGGTTTTGGCGAGAGATGCAAAAGTTCCTTTGTTTTAAAGGGAAAAGGGGATAAAAGAGAGTGCAAAAATTTTTAAGGGGGTAAGTCTGCTGAGTATACCTGGGAAAATGTATGGAAGTTATTATTGAAAGAATTAAAAGTAAAACGGGAAAAGGTAGCGATGAACAAGGAGGGGTTTAGGAAAGGTAGGGGGTGTGTGGACCAGGTGTTTACAGTGAAAATTAAGTGAAAAGATTTGTAAGGGTGAAGAGGGCTTTTGGGATTTAGGATTTGGAAAAGGCGTTTGAAGGGTGCTAGGGGGGGAAAGTGGCAGATTTGCAAGTGTATGGGTAGGAGGGAGGGTTTTGAAAACGTAAGATTTTTTTCGGGATAGTGAGGCCAAGTTGAGTAGTAGGAAAAAGGGAAAAATTTTTCCCCGTAAAGTAGGCCTTAGACAAGGGTGTGTGATGTCACTGTGGGTTTTTTTAATTATTTATGTGGGGTTTTTAAAGAAAATAAAGGAGGTAAAGACCCCCGGGGGTTGCCCGGCTCTTTCGTAATTTGGTTTGGGAAAAAAGGGGGAAGTTGCGAAGGTGGTTTTGGGGGTGTGCGGGAAATTAAAGGTTTGGGAAAAGGAAGGTTTGAGGTTCAAAAAAAGGGGATAAAGTTAATAAAAGGGGGGAGAAGTATGGGGGGGGTAAACAAATTTTGGGGGAGGGGAGTTTTCAGGGGAGGGTTATGAAAAGGATAAAATTCTTTTGGGTTTGAGGGGAAAAAAGGGGGGGGGGGTTTGGATTGGGGACAAAGAATTTGTTTGGGGAAAGAGGGGTGATAGAGTTTTTTTTCCCAAGCTTTTTGGGGGGAAGATGGGTAGTTTTCAGGGGGAAAAAGGGGGAGCAGGGAGATTTTCAGCGAGGGAAGGTGGGGGGGAATTAATGCGGGGAATTTGTTTAAAAATTAGGAGGATTGGGGGGTTAAAATGTTGTCAAAAGGGGGGGGGAAAGGGTTGGGGGGTTGGGGGTTGGACATGTAAAAGAATGGAGCAAAACAGAATACTTCAAGAGTGTATCAGTCTGTAGTGGAAGAAGGCGGGATAGGGGTCGGCCTGGGAAAAGGTTTGGAGAGGGGGG